AAATATGAAAGTGTGCCTAAATATTCCAGAAAAGTCACAGCCTTGGTGTTTTAATAGGAACTCAGAGCAGGGACAAAAGCAGTAAACAAATTTTCACATACTGCTTGTATGTACTATTTTCCTTTCCACATGAAGTAATGGACTTTGATGCTGATGATGCCGAGGATAATGTAGCACCTTCTCCAAGCTCTCCTGCTGCTGATTTCCCAGCTGTAACTGAAACTATAAACCCCGTTTCTAAAAAGAATGTGACAGTGAAGAAGACGGCAGCAAAAAGTGAGCCTAAATCTTTGAGATGGGTTAATATTGGGATTAACTGACTGGCTGCCGCAAGCCAGTTTCAATTTTTTATTCCCCAAATTTACTATTGATAATAATATTAAGCCTTTTCAAATGAAACAAATCTTTAGATCTTTATAATGAAAGTTGCTGGTCAAAAGGTTTAAAAATCAGCATGTTTCTCAAAATGTCAAGTGTTATCTTGGTTCATTTCTATGGCGGGGATAGGACTTACAGTTACAGATGTTTAACATAAGGTATATATATACGTACAGAAAATTGGATGCTTAAGAATACTTTGATTCTCTAATGTATTTTCATCTCTTAGTTTGTCTTTTCCTAGCCTGTCTTTTCCTATGTTAAATATAAACAGTCAACAGGTTGCTAAAGAAAGCAGCACTGTGCGAGCAATTTGTCTAAGAGTGGCCATGATGAATGCCTGTGTTGACTTGCAGGTCAGTCTTCCACCTCCACTACAGGTGCCAAAAAAAGGGCTGCACCTAAAGGAACCAAAAAAGATCCAGACATGGATTCTGATGTCTCTAAAAAGCCTAATCCCCCCAAAACCAAAGGTCGCCGCAAAAGGAAGCCTTCCACTTCTGATGATTCTGATTCTAATTTTGAGAAAATGATTTCTAAAGCAGTCACAAGCAAGGTATTTATCCTACTCTGTCCTTTTGCTGTGGTTGTTTTGAAACTCATAACCAAGCTTTGCTGTTAATTTGGCACATTTTTAAGAAAATAAGTTTAAATCCCAGACTCCATTAGCCTTTTATTCTATGTAGTTTAGTTGTAAAAAAATTAAATATACCACTAGTCAATGAGTGAGTTGCCCTAGGTCTTATTTCTTACTACTTATTAGAAAGGTGAAAAACTCCTTGAGTTATAGTCTACTGATACATATTTTTTGTTTGTTTTTGTGTGTACAGTGTGTTGAGTCTTTTTGGGGGGATGGTGGGTAATTAGGTTTCTTTATTTTTTAATTTTTTTTTTCAGTGGAGGTACTAGAAATTGAACCTAGGACCTCAGGCATGCTAAGCATGAGCTCCCTCTCTCTTGATATATTTTTTGCATTGAAATTCTGCTGTCTGGTTGATACTGTGCAAATTATGGGCTTTTCTTCTTTAGAAATCCAAGGAGGAGAGCGATGAGTTCCATGTGGACTTAGACTCAGCTGTGGCTTCTCGGGCAAAATCTGGAAGGACAAAGAAACCTATAAAGTACCTCGAAGAATCAGATGAAGATGACCTGTTTTAAAATGTGAGGTGATTATTTTAAGAAATGGTCTTATTGAGCCCAAGACTGGTTTTAAAGTTACCTGAATCTCTTAATTTCCTCCCCCCTGAATTTAGTTTGGGGAAGGTAGTTTTAATTCAGAACCATCAAGATGAAGTATGTAGAACCCAAGTAAGTGTCCCTTAAAAGTGTCTACTCTGCCTTTCAGTAAATGAGATAAACATGATTAATTCCATTTTATATTAGTTTTATAGGTAATTTCCATCAGCTAAAACTTTATAGTTCCAGTACCAAATATTTCTCACTCAGCCTTTTATGTGCTGAATTTTTGTTTAAGCAGTGAAAAATTGTTCATATTCTTCTGAATATTAGCAGATGCTGAAGAAAAACACCCTGGCTGTGTCTGTATAACTTCAACACAGTCAAAAAAGAATGAAAAAAATTAGACTGTAAATTGTGATTATCTTCAACTCTTGACTTGTCCCCTCTGGCTGCCTCTGAATCTCCCAAAGAACAAATTTTGGGGGGCACCAGATTGCAGAAGAGTGGGGGACAACGTTCAAAGATCTTATGTATTATATGGATGCCATAATCAGCAGTAAGCTGTTTAATCTCATATAATTTTCAACTTGAAAGCTTTTTAAGCTCTTCCTTCATTTGTTACATGTGTGTGATTTGAATGGCGTTATCAATGTTTTTGTAAATATTTACTATGTTTTTCTATTTAGCTTAATTCCAACAGTTTTGTACTTTAATAAAATGTTGTAAACATTGCAACTCATGATTGACCTTTTTCTTACTCTAAAATATATATCCCTCTTCTCTATTCACTGTAAAATAGTTTTGTGAGAACTGTTCTGATCATTTTGTGATGTGTCTGACGGCTCCTGGCCCTGGTGATAGATCTGAGAGAGAGGCACCATGTCCTAACTGGGGGCAACTAGGTTTTCTTCTGGGCTTTTAAACATGGGTACTAAATTCACCTCTTCCACACAGTAAATACATCTATGTATGGCCATACATCAGTAAATAGTTTTTAAATATAAACATTTCTTTTTTTTTTTAAACATCTCTTTTTTAATGATTCCCTACTTCACATTTTTGATAACCTGGTCAAGTACTTCATCAGTAAATTATGCTGGCAACTGGCTAGTCATTTAGAAAAAAATAAGATGTGAAGAAGGGGTTGGAATTTTTTCTAACACAAAAGTTTAAGTTCAAACAGACAATTTAAATGTCAAAAACAAAACTTTGAAAGTAGAAGAAAAGCAGTTTTGAGTTATGGAGGACTGTACTAAACATATCCGCAGTGGCAGTGTTGACAGAGGCATGGAAGAATGAGCCCTTTGATCAGAACCTTGACAAAAAGGTCAAGCTCTTGGTCCCCGCAATTCTCACTTCAAGAAATTTAGTTTAAAAAATTTTTAGTTCAAGAGAAGATTTGGACATGTGCGAAAAGCTATGTAAACACATACAAATTTGAGTTCACGTGACACAAGAAAAATCAGTATCCTGCTTACAACATAATTTTGCAAAATGCTACCATTGGGGGAAAGTAGGCACTGTACAAGGGCTCTCTGTTATTTCTAACAACCACATATAAATCTACAATTATCTCAAAAAAACACGCATACAAAGGTGCCTATTAAAGTTTCTGTAATAGTACAGAAAGTATTGAAAATAACCTAATATCTAACAAGAGATAACTAGTAAAACAGTTTATAAACAGATTCTGGTACAATGAGGAATATCAGGTGCTCATTAAGAATGATCACATGTATTTGACATGGAAAGATATTTAGGACATTGCTGAGTAAAGAAAGCAGGTTACAAATCAAAGATGAATCCCTGTCTGGTAAGTATGAAGTAGCATTTGTTCACAAAATAAATAGTGGGAGAAAAGCATATAAGCCTTTGGAAACAAAAAAAATCAGAAATTTTTAAAACTAGTAAGTTTGCTCCTGATCAGTAATGCTGTAACTTTTTTAAAAAAGACTCCAGACGAATACAGTCCTTGACCCTTCACCACTGATGTTCTAAGAGATCAAAATTCTAAGTGCTAATAAATTAGGTGGTAATACACATTTAGATCCTTTAGAGAATGTAGTTATTTCCCACACATATGAAACATTGCTTAGATGGATACATATTACATCAATTATAAATAACAAAAGAATGGTAACTGAAAACATAAGGGATTCAAAAATTGTATTTAGTTGATAAATGATAC